GGGTTTCACTCCATGATGAGGACACCATGAACTTAAATAGTTACGTGTGACCCCTTTGTGACTCAATTCCTGCAGCTCTCAAGTGGGGGCAATAATATTAGTCACCTTCTAACTTCACAGAGATGTTGCAAGGAATAATGTTTGTAATATGCTGTGGAGTTCTCAGATGAAAGGTGGAAATTAATATATGATGAAACATTATTACCACTTATCTTTACACCATCTAAGTGAGTTAGGCAAGTGAAGTATCAGCATGTGCACAGTCCTGGCAGAAACCAGCACTGCCATTATTTCCATTTAACATCTATTATACCCACCCAAAGAGGTTGAGAATTACTCAGAGCAGCAGACATACTTTCGGATAAATGAAAGCAAGTTGAGATACCAGATGAACAAAGAGAAAGTTAATTTTTATTTTCTTCTTATTCCTTTTTTCTTATTTGATATAGAACGTTTGACAGGAAATGCGTACAGAGAGAATCAGAAAATGACTGAAACAACCTCTCCTCTTGAGCATACCTTTCCAATCTAGGTTATTAATGCATGTGTGTAACTCATAGTCTAGAGCATGGGCTCCTGTGCAGGTTGTCTTCTGTGTCGTTGCTCTCAGTCTTTGTCAGTAATCTTTCCCCATCTAGATTATTCAAGTAGACTAGCACCCTCCCTGCATCATGAAGACTTCTGGTCTAACCCCTCACCTAAACTTCTTCTGTCATTCTTTTGTAATCAGTACATGTTTTGGAATTATATTTTTGTGTTGATCTTGCCTCCTCACAGACTTAACTCTTCCAGGATTTATTTTATTAAGCTATATTCTTCATTTGGTACAGGCTTGGCACTGAAGGTAAAAAAAAAAAAGTTCAATAAAGGAATGAATGGAATCGGTCATCAAAATATCAAAATTTGAATTCAGACTCATTAAATTCACCTCTGCTATTCCCATCACACCATTTCACACCCTGTATGATAAATGTAGTGTAGAATAGAAATATTAAACAGTTAAAAAAGGGAAAGGGAACTTATTTTAAGGAAAAGAAATTCAACTTTTTCAGGTAAATACAAACATGAACAACTGCTTGATCAGATGTTTAATTTTGTAAGAAACTGGAAAAACAGTTTTCCAAAAGGACTGTACCATTCTGAATTCCCATCAGTAAAGAGTGAGAGTTCCTGTGGCAGTATACCCTTGCCAGTATTTGATATTGCCAGCATTTTGGATTTTGGCTGTTTTAATAGATGTATAGTCGTTTTAGTTGCAATTCCCTAGTGGCATTGTCAATGAATTGAAGATATATGTATACAAAAAACCCTGCATATGAATGTTTATAGCATTTTTATTTGTAACGACCAAAACTTGGAAATAACTAAGATGTCTTTTTGTAGGTGAATAGATAAGTAAACTGTTGTGTATCCAGAACATACACCTGAGTAATGGGGTATTACTCAGCTCTAAAGAACAAATGTGCTCTGAAAGTACAGGAAGACATGGAGGAAATTTACATTCATATTACTAAATAAAAGAAGTGAATCTGAAAGGGTAGCATGCAGTATGATTCCAATTATAAACCATTCTGGAAAGGCAAACTAGAGACAGTAATAGAATCAGAGGTTAAAGAGTTAGGGAAGTTGGAGTAGGGATGAATAGGAGGAGCAGACAGAATGTTCAGGTCTGAAATCACTTTGTATGATAATGTAATGGTGAGTACATGCCATTACATTATACCTTTGTCAATACAATGTACAATCCAAGAGTGAGCCTTAATTAAACTATGGATGTTGGGTGGTAATCACTTGTCCATGTAGGTTCATCAATGAAAATAAATGTGCTCTTTTGGTGGGGGGATGCTGCCTGTGGGGGAGGACACTTATATGCAAGGAATAGATGAGAAATAGCCAGATCATCCACTTAATTTTGGTATGCATCTAACTTCGTTCTAAAAGAGAAAGTCTATTAATTTTTTTATGAAAGTATATGCTTTCAGATAACATTCCAAAGGAAATAGAAGATTTAATTTAGGGGCTTAACAAACCCATGGATAAATTTATATTATTATCTAGAAAGACTGACTAAGCATTTAAATTTAGGCAAATGACTTATTTTCTGCAGCTGCGTTAACTTGTGTGTTAAGTGGGGATGCCAACAACAACAGCAACAATAATACTGACCTCAGAAGCTGTTGTAAAGGCTGTGCAATCTGTGTATAAAATTCTTACAGTAGGTCGCAAGTAGGAAGTGTTCAGTGAATGTGCCTACACAGTCTAGTCCATTTCTGGATATGGTCTTGCCTGTAGACCAAAAGTGCTAAAGGAAAGAGAGCACTGCCCACAGGCATATTGCCCTGGAAGCACTTGAGTGATTTTTCACTAGAGCTCTTTGGGGAATGTGGGGGTGTTAGGAGAGTGGATGTTCATGGTCCAGGTGTGTACGCCAGTGGAAGAATAATGCTACCACCCCAAGCATGAGAGCAAGCAAGTGTAAGTCTATTGAAGCAAGAGGAAGGAACACTGACTGCAGGAGGGGCCCCAAGGAGGATGTCCGTTTCCTCCAGCCTGTCTATGACTCGAGACTATCGGACTTCCTGTTGCCCAATGTGCCAGACTATTGATCAGGTACAAGGTGGTCCGGAAGTTTCATGGTGGTTGGTTTCTGTTTCCTAATTGTCCTGTAACTTGATCTTACTCTAGGTGGTGACTAACTCAGCAACATTTCAGTAAAACACTTCTATTTCCCTGGAGGCTGTTTTGTTCCTTCTGTTCCTATATTGTTTAAAATCACTGTCCTGTGTCTCAGCCTTTCCCATTCCCCAAGTTCTCCTGGTCTCATCTCTTCTCGAGGGAACTCTCACTATTTCAGTCTTCAGTTCTGGATCACATTGTAGAAAATGGTTTTTCATGAACTGTCTTTCACAAAAGTTTTCTATGTTCTTAGGGATTTAGTTGCCATTCAAGTTTGGTTTAAATATTATTAGAGCACATCCGGAATTGTTTAATGAGGTGGCTTTGTGGGAAGCTTTTCCTATAAATCTTAACCAACTATACACTCACCTTCCCTGCTCAATGCTGCATGAGTAGCCAAGTGTATTCAGGAAAGTGGCCAGAAGGAAACAGTGCAAATGTCACTAATAGCAGACAACAGAAGGAAATGCTCTTCTCTCATTGCGCACCCATTTTACTACATCAACACCAGTACTCCCCAACCCCTGTCAGCTGAGACAGAGGTTGACATTTTCTTGTCTTATTTCTTTCTCTGCTAATATTTAAATGAGTGCCTATTAGACCTCTGGTGTTATTTATTTATTTTATGAGACATAACCAACTGATTCTGTAAAGCATACTCTTGAGAGAATTTCAGTTTGTTCACAAAGTTGTACAATCATAAACACTACATAAATCCAGAACATTTTCACCCCTAAAAGAAACCCCACACTCCATTTCATAACCCCATTTCATCTTGTGATTAAGATGTTAATTTTAGTTTTACTTATTTGGTTAAATGGTGCTAATAGGTTTTAAGAAATCAGAGAATGGGGTGTACATTTTGTAATTAATACTGTAATATCTTACTTTTTAGTGTTTATTATATTTATATTGTACCAGTATACCAGCTCAGGGATTCACACGCACACACACACACGCACACACATCCACTCCTACACAGACTTTAGTCTTGGTCACCTCAGGGGTACTTGTACCAGGTCAGAGATCTCAGTACCCACAAGTGGATCTAGTCTGCAGGACAGTATGTGGGCCCAGTAAAGTTTAAACTAGCTCTGCTTGATTGAACACATACTGTTTTCCAGGCACAAGCCCTCCCACAATAGTTTTAGGAGGAAAATTCTGTTATTGTCTTTATTTTAACATGCGAGCCAATGGAGGTGTCTGGAGCTTATGAAAATTGTTATGCCAAGGTTGCATTGCTAACAAAGTTCAAGTTTGTATGGAGGGCCTCCAAATCCAGAGCATATGCCTTTGACCCTGCTGTTAGTGGCATGCTTCCTTTAGCCTTGAACAGGGCTGTGCAATATGCCTTCACAAGTCCTCATTCAGATCCTCCTGTTACCAGACGAGAAGAGCCAGCCCCTGTTGGCAGATCACAGAGCTAGGCCAGTGCAGAGGAGCAGCAGAGTCCACAGCCAAGATGAATGGATATGAGTTTCCCAGCACCCCACTGGTACTTCCGCACTTAGTTTGGACAACCAGCTCTCGTTATAACCAGTCACTTCCTACCCTATATTTTTGTATGCTTGAATTCCTACATGAGTCTAACTATAACTTGATTTTTATATATTTTCTTTAGGCTCAAGGTGTATGAGTGAATGTTTGAAAGAATAAAAAATGTCTCACCATACAGTCACCTAGTATTTTATTTCTAGACTCCCTTAAAAGTTTGAGCACCAGTGTCTTTGCGAAAGGAGACTACATAGAATAGTTTGATTTTAACTTTTTAAATGTTTTTCAAATTTGTCACTTAATTCTACATACATATTTAGTAAAATAGATTTTTTGCATACACAAAGCAATATGATTACAAATACCTTTGGGAAAGGATTAGTCATAATTTGTACCTTTGTAAGCAAAATGAATGAAGATACTATTAAATGCTGATGGATTGGGGCTGCAGTTCTGTTAACACCCTCTTTCCCCGATGCTTTCGCCTCTGTGAACAAAGCAGTGACCTGGCCTTGCGTGTGGCTGTTCCCTTTCTTGGAAGGGTCCTGCCAACTCTCATTGTCCTCTTGGATTTGCAGTCAGATGTCCTTTGCTGACAGGCACTGGGCAAGCAAAGAGGTTTTTTTTCCTGTAAGTTGGGCACAAAAAGATCTGCATGGGAGCAGCCTCTTTTGGGACAGCTGCTCTGAAAGAATGCAGTAAGCAGGGCGCAGACAGAAATTCCTCCTAGCCAGAGTGACTCGTGGGAGGAGTTCAGTTTTCTAAGTATTGACATTTGCTGAGAGAAGGTGTACACTCAAGAAGGAGTTGTAACCTGGAGGATCATTAACTCTTTCAGTCAGCTGGCCTCCGGCAGTGGCTGGGCAAGTTCGTCTTGGAAACATCTGCTCTGGAAGGTCAGGGAGGAGGAGTGGAATAACTTTTTCATGGGGGACCGCTTTGAGAAGGGACAGCAGGCTTTGCTCAATGAAGGAGAAGAGAATGAGATGGTAAGACTCCAGCTACATTTCCCTCTTTGCCTCTCCAACTATCCCTCTCCACATAATATTCCCAGCTCTCCCCCCTCACCCCGTATTGCACTCACACACACCACATTCTCAAACACACACACCACACACTTCTCTGTGATTTGACTGTGGTATCACGTGAGGAAAAGTAAAGTTCAAGAAACCTGTCAGTCCCATAAATGTAACTTCTGACAGCAGAATTTTTCTAGGTTGAAAATAATGTATTCATTTTAATCAAGAAAGTTTCCTTCTACAATAAACCAGAAAGGAAGACTCTCACTCTCTCGTAGCAACTTCTGCTTAAAATGTATAATAATTTCAGCAAATCCCTAATTTGGGAAGCAGCATATTCTGTGATAGGAAGAAGGAGACAACAGTGTGCAGGAGCGGTGCATTTGGGTCTTTTGACCTTCTCTTCTTACATATTTTTGTTCACCAAGACTTTTGGGTGACGGAAACCTATAAATTATTAACAATTATCGGCCCCCACACATTTCTTTTTACTTCTAGAATTGTATTGGGAGTGCCCTAGTTGTGGAGATTGGTGATAGGAACCTTTCTGTGCTTACTCTCGCTTATATTTTGGATGTGTTCCCACCTGGGGAGCTGTAGGAAAATCAAAGATGATTTTTATGCTCTTACTGAATTCAAAGCTTTATTTCTCAATTACAATGTAATCAAGAGAGAGTTAGAAATGTGTACTTCTATTTAATAAGGCCTTTCAGCTAATTGTGTAAGCATAGTCTTTTATGCAGTAATGGTGTAATTAAAATGTTAAAATATGATGCTTTCATTCTATAATAACATTTTATCTTCTTGCAATTAATATATAAATAACAAACCTAAAAGATATTTAGACTGTTTACTTGGCTAATTGCTTTAGCCCTGACTATTAAATTCTTTGTTCCTAAACTGGTTTTGCAAGTCTAATCTGCTTACCTGTTCCTATAGCAACAACATTTTTTGGACCTTCTTGAGTAGATCCCTTTTGCTATCAAAGCTGAAAAATCATAAGGAAATAAAAGGCACCCAAAGTTAAGTGGCCTTTTTAGTAGTCACTTTATTTCTCTCAGATTTGACCCACCAAATGACAAGAGCTTTCAGACCAGACGCAACGTCACCAGACATGACTTTTTGACCCTATGCTGGATAGCATCCTTGTATTTCCCAAGTGTTATCTTTAGAGAGGGAATGTTCCACTACTCTCTAAATTAAGTTTAAAAATTCTCCTCATCTGTTAACCTCTTCATTATAAGGCAAGGTCTCTTTCTTTCTAGTGGTGGGTTTTTGTTTCACTTTTTTAACGCTCCCTCAAATCCTCATATGGAAATACACCTACTTTCCCTATACACTCATCTCTGCAGTTTGAGCGCTTGTCATTTGAAAGCCATTAAGCGCCATCTTCCTGGGAGCTGACTTTCCTAGTTCTAGGCAAACTACACCTTCTGCAGCCGATGCAATCCCAGCAAAGCAATACAGGTAATAGCTTCACAACCCATTAGTGTTGGGTTGGTTTTGTATGCAGTTGAAACCCTCTTACGAGGGCCCTTTTGACTAGAAAGGGACACTGTGTGTTCTGGGGAGGAGTCTTTTGGCCAGTAGTCTCAGCGGAGGTGCAGCAATTAGTATGCACGCTTGAGAACTCCATCCTATTCTGCCCGAGAAATCTGGCCACCTGCCTGTTGCTGCTTCTGACACTCTGTCCCTTTTAAACTCACCACTCCATTCTCCTCACCCAGAGCAGTAAACCTCAAAAATATTAAGATATCTTAAATGTGCCTCACATATTTTCATGGTGACTTTTAGTTTACAAAGTATTTTCTTGACCACTAGCTAATTTAGTTTCCAACACTGCTGTGAAGTCAGTGGCATGATGTTGAAGAAACTGATTGAAACAGAGTTTGCTTGTCTAATTTGTATCAGCCAATAAATCTAGGAGGTGAAACCCCCAGGAGTTAGTTTAAGTTGGTAGCTTCTTTGTCTTTGGATGTTAATATCACCACTTCTTTCTGAAGACATTGTGCTCCTAACAGGAGAACACACTTCTCTTAGGGAAACAAAACTTAGGAAAACATCTGGTCCTTCTGATATTCCCCAGAATCTGTTTTGTTGTCTGTAATCTATGTTCTCCAGACAAGTCTTTCTTCATTGACTTTTATGTTAATCACCTGTCAAAAGTCAGAGTTGTCTAGAAATGTGTTACATCAAAATGTTTACAATTTCTTGGTTTATGATATCCACAATTTGGACCTTAGCAGAAGCCATCTTCAAAAGTTGAAGATGATTTCAGGTTTCAAGAGACTCAGCATTTTAGGTCAAATCAAGAAAAACCTAAAAAATACCTAATACTATTTTTCATTTAAAAATTAAAAAACAAACAAACAAAAAACCAGGAACTAAAGAGCAAACCCTAGCAGACCTGAAGATAATATTGTTAAGTACAAATGAGACAGGAGCCAAAGGGAGAAATAATTTTATTGGAAGAGCAAGGAAGAAAAGTGAAGAAAGTGACCTTTAGAGAAGATGCACCCAGATGGCTCGTCCCTTGCCTGCACCAGTCTCAGTTTTTGTACATGCAGGGTAGAAGAAGTTCTTTTTACTCCTGTCCCATAGGGCTATATGGCTCTGAACTGAGCTAATCTCTATGGGAGATTTTGAGAAATACACAATTCTGGAAAGTATCAGTGACTGTTAGTGAAACAAATATAGGCAGAGTCGGGGCTTCCATAATTCAATGATGAAATGAATACTACTCAACATCTGATCTTTTCTTTAAGTAATGACAAGGAAGAATAAATACTATTGTCCACAAGCTATAAAGCCCATTTATAAATGGAGAGAAACCTAGTTACCTTACCTCCTGCCATGTAGTACTAACTATAGGAAAATATTTATGTGTTTTGGGACCTGATTTTCTTATTTGTAAAGTGGGAGCTACAGATGGACAAAAAACTCAAATCACTTTGAATTCTGATGTTATATATTTATATTTTGAACTTTGGAAACACTGATGCCCATTTCCTATGCCATGACAGCAGAAAGACTTCACAGTTTAATTTGAATATTACTCATCTTTAAGTACATCCCAAAGAAGTCATAATCTTCTGGGGGAAGCATTTGCTTCAAGGAGCCATGTTGTAAAAGTAATATTTCCTGACTTTTTTAAAACTTTCCTAGGTTTTAACAAAAAAGAAACTTGATTTTTTTTCTGTATATTTTAACATGTTGGTTGTAAAACTATATTGAGACTGACATGTAAAGATCTAAAGAACGAAATAAATGCAATTCATGAGCTTTCTGTCCAAGCATGATCAATATTATTATATTGATGATTCTCCTTTCAGATGCACACACACACAAAGCCTATTATAAAAAATTCACAAGCACAAAGCCTACCCTATTGAAATTACTTATTTTGTTATCATTATACTCTTGATCTTATTTAGATCTGTGTATGTGTATCTTGGAAATACTTAGTAATGATGTCTATGGTATCTGTTTCATTTATAGCTTGAAATGAATACAGTTGGGAATTTTATGTCATAGAAATCTGTAAATGACTTGTGGGACTTCCATCTTGCCCCACCTGAAGGGTAGACTTATCAGCAACATCACTGAATATATGAATGCTTTAAGACTTTCTCTTATTTCTGCCTCTTGTGTCCAAATACAATAAGAATATTCTATTTAGATATCAGTTTAGATATTTGTTTGCAATGTATCTTGCCAAAGCAAAATAAAATGATCACAATCTATTCTTAAAGAATGCACACACATATGCATTTATAGAATTTTTAAACAAAAAAGGAGCTATTACCTCTATACTGCTTTTTAAAGGATGGTCTCTTAGATTACACCTAAAATTATATTACAGATGTATTTGTCTTTATATAATTATAGTTCTACAGAGGCATTTTACTATTTAAATTGTGTTTGAATGAACTGTGCTGTGATAAGCAAATCTCCCCTATTAAATATTTCTGTTATTCCTAAATCTCTTTGACTACGATGGACAACTTTGTGTGTGTTTTTTAACATACTTGTCAGATTATTTCCAAAGGCAGAAGCCCTAGAAATGACACTGCTGCATCAAAGGCGCTGCATATCTTAAATTTTCATAGGCACTTAATGCCATGTTGCCAGGCGGTAGTGGTACCAGTTTATATTCAGACTAGCAAATCCTTTTTAAGAATACTTGCTTTCTCTGCTATACTTGCCAATGTTGAGCATTATTACTTTTTTAAACTTTAGCTCATCTGATAAGTGAAAATGATACTTTACAACTGTATTAATTTTGCATTTCCTTGTTTTACAGTTGAACACATTTCTACAGTTTTTGGCATTTGTACATATTTTGGTTAGAATCTCTTAATGTTGTCACTGATGTTCTGTCAACTTGTAGGCAGGGTAACTGAAAATTTGTGAATTTGGAAAGCAAGAGAAACTTTTGCAATGTTCATGCCTTTTCTGAGAACAGCAAGAAGTTAGCTTTGCTGTGGGCACATAATACAGCGGCAGGGTGGTGTGTGGTCTTTGCCACATTGAAAATCCTGTCGTGCCTCCAGCGTGAGCTAGGGACATCTGTCCTCTCCAATTATTTGGCTCACTTTGATAGCTGATGTTTGTCTTTTCTTCTCTAACACCAGGGAGCAAAAGCACCGCCCCCCCACCTCAATAGCCACTTATTTATTATGCTTCTTGAGCACCTCCGAGTTGGTTTCCAATGTTAACTAGTGAACCCACAGATCTCATAGTGGAGGAATTGTGTTCAGACTGAGACGTTTTGTGAGTTGAAATGTTCAGGAAGCTGGGCCACTGGCCAAACTGCATGTCTTTATTCTTGATTCATTGCTACAGAACTCCCATGAAGTCAACTCATCTTTGATTTAACTCACTCGTGAAGACAGAGACCCTGCTTGGTTCACCTTTCTACAACCTTCCCTGACCCTCTTCTACTACCCCCAGATTATATAGCACAGTGC